TGTTTTTATTTTTGATTTTATATTTTATGTCTCATGATATATTATAAGTTCAACTTCCAATATATACAATAAATTCGATATCAAAATATAAAAGTCATTAATACTGCACAAAAATTCTTCTTTACAAATACTTGTGATGTTAAAAATTCACAAGCTATACAAATAAATGGAAACAATTTTTTAATATAGCACAAAACAAAGAAAATCATAAAATTAATGCTATACAATCTCAGTATACAGTTAATGTCTTCTACTTTTGATATATTATGTTATACAATTAGAAATCAATGATTAGAAATTAATCATCAGTATTCTTACACCTTCAAATGCATTTGCTACTAGTCTATAAATCGTGTTCACCAAACTATTCAAATAGAGCTCTTCTATTATTCAATAATATACTATAAAGTTAATAATATATAGAAAAGCGCTAATAGTTAAGAGTTAATGAGCTGATTCACATTAAAGCAAAGTTACATAATTAAGAGTCTACTGAACAGAAAAGACAAGAAATCTATATAAATAAACTTGATACATATACACAATATATAGTATGGCAAGCTTGATGTGTTTTGGCAAATTTACAATGTCTATAATATATTACAGTTTTTAAATGACGTACTACAACGGTTTTTTGGTGTTTTTAAAGTCATGACAATATTTAAGTAATTTTATTGCATTTTTGTACAATTTGATATGCATATTTTTGCATTAATTTCAGTGTTCCTTTCGCTTTTGTAATTTTCTAAACCATTTTTTTAATATGAAAGTATTTTATGATAAATATTTCACACTTTGTATATTAGATTTAGAACGATTCTGTATAATTATTTGCAAGTATTCCAAAGTGTATAAGACTACAAAGTTGTAAACAAAATAAAAGATATACACACTAGACATTATAGTCTAATTCTTACCAATTATTCCTACCCATGTAAATGGAAGAACACGTATTTAATTTCAACTTTGTTATTACAATAACTACTTTGTTTAAAAGTATTCTGAAAAACATTTGCAAAATTTCAGCGGACATGTAACTTAGTATAAAGTTTAGAATATCATTAAAATTGAAACCTTTGTACAGAATTTTATAATCTAAACAAATAAACACCATTTTTAATTTTAATATTAATCCTAAGACTAGTATGCTTTTCTAATTTTGTCGCAAATAATTCATATTTGCTTAAATTTATTCAAAATATTTTTGGGAAGCTTCTTATACGAAATGAAATGATTGTCAATGATTTGTACCCAGCTATACAATTTAAATACTAACATATATTCCTCAAGAATTTGAATAATTGTAAGCAAATATGTAGACTATATTATTGGTGATCATGTTGTATTACATGTATTTTCTTTTATTTTAAGTATTCGTGAAGATGTAATTAATTTTATTTTTATAGTTGATGGATGGAAAACATTATTTAGAAATTTAGGAACAATTATTCTGGCAAACGTGTCTTTAAAAAAATAACAGTCTTGGTGCATTTATCATGATTAAACAGATTTAGGTATTAGTCCTTGGTAAACACACACTCTTAAATACTAACTCATTTAAATGTGTGCCTTTTCATTCATAAAGGCACCATTAGTTTTATATATTACCATGTTGTTTTTCTCCTTTTATTAAATCATTTCGTACGTATAGTGTTTAAGTCATTATTAAAAGAGCACTAACTAATTTCGGTAATCAGCCTTAGCTGAAAAAGTTTTGTTATATATAAGTCTTCTTATTTTTCTCTTCTTTGGCGTTATTAAGAGTAAAATGTTAAAACAGATGTATGGTTCCCTCGAACAAGTAAAAATGGCGGCATATCACGCGTTAAAGTCTCCAGCCAAGCCATATAGAGGGGTGCTGATACAGCACCCTTGCGTGGCATTGGTAATGTCCTGAAAATAAGTGAAATGTATTAAAAAATATTTCTATATGTAACTAAATGACAAACTTCTCCTTTAGATTTCTTTTACTTACATAACAACTAAATTAGCTTCCATTGAATTTTCAAGTAACAATTCTCTTAGACGCAAATGCCTGTTCGTTTTTTCTTTCATGGCAAGTAATTCAGAATCTTTAATAATATCTGAAAATAATTAATAAATTATTTAGAATTTTGTAATCAAAATATGCCATGTATCATATCGCGTATATAATAGTTATTTTAACGAACCATCGTCTGTTGCCTTGGGATCGTCCGTTTGTTGAAAATTTATTATTAACGAATTAAAAAAACTTTTCGTACTATCTTGTGCTGGTTTTGAAATATCTGGTATGACTTTTAAGGCAGAGTAGTCTATCCGGAATTTTGATAAAAGACTTGCCATGCTAGATATAAAATAGTAATATTAACTATTTTTTGTCTATCTTTAACCATAGAATTATGTACATTAATACTTACTTTCTCTGTTCATATTCTAGCTCAGAATATTTATTAGCAAGTGCAAATACCCTCAATTTACTGTTAGACCAATTTCCTCTTGTACTAATAATATATGGTAAGAGAAGAGTTAAACCACCATCATCGTATAACCACCATACGTCTATAGTGCCCTTTTTTTGTTTACGCTGGAATTTTGTTACAGCGTTAAGTATATCTTTCGCCACAGGTATGATATTCGGTCGGTTTTCGCGTTGATCTTCTATTGTTGGATTAGGATATTCATTGATCATTTTGGATCGCCTTGGTGCCGGACTGCCAGGTATTGAAATGTCTGACGTGCTACTAGCTACAAGCATAAATATTTTTTATTTTATATTTCATTTTGTATAAATACAAAAACAGTTATAAATATTTTACGAACCTTGACTAAGTTGTGAAAAACTTTGATTTCCTGGTATCGAAGATGCCGCATTCTTTTTCTGTTCTTCAATATCTCCTATGGCGACACCATAGTCTAAACCTTCGCTAATTCGAAGGAGTGCAACTGCTATATGCATATCCAATGCTTTACTAAATAGATAATACATAAGGATGATTATAAAAAGTAAAATTTAAATTAATACTAAAATAAAATGATGCCCCTTAATATTTTTTTTTATACGAATTAGTGATATAATTTTTACATGATCAACAGTTCTAGTATCAATATGATTCATTAAGGAACATTGTTTATTTAAGTATTATGTTTTCATTCAATTCTTTACTTTAATAAAATACTAACTGCATTATGTTAAAATACATATTCAAGTTTTCTCGAGGGCACGATGCCCAGTCCTGTTTATAGCCCATTAATAAAATGTTAGGTCTCATTTTTCCTAAGCCAGCTGCTTGCAAAAGAGAAGTAGCACCATCTTGAAAATTTGCACCATCCACCAAAGAATAAAACGCTTTAATCTTATTTCCCCTGAACCAGGAAGTACATTTCGTGACCATGGAATTACGTGTTTTATATGATATTGGCGTCTGAAACAAATTTGTAATATTCTAGCCATGCTTGATATCATACCATAATTTTAATATATTCAATAATTTACCTCAATTATATGTCCACAAATAAATAAACTATTATTTTTGGTAATATGATGAGCAAAATCAACGAGTGATGATCTCGCACTTGGCATGCCGGTGAGTACCAAAAGCTGAGGCCTGTAGTTTTTAACGTGATCTTCAACTCTGTCTAACTGTTGAACAGCTGTTAAGGCGTTATTGTAGGTTTGCGCTTGTGTGGTCGATCCCCAATTGACATCTGTAAAATAATATTATTTTTATATCGTTTGTAAACATCGGAATATTAAACGTATGAAATTATACATTATACAGTTATAGGTATATTTATACCTGGTTTTCTGTAGGAAACTACTAAATATAAAGCTAAAACCACACATAAAGTAATTAGAGCTGTCCACCATGAGATCAAGAACATCACAGAGACACAGAGAATAGAACCGGCAAGACTTAGCCACATATTGTAATACTAAAATAAGAAAATACAAAATATTACAATATCTTTGTAAAATCATTGATTACTTTGTTTATAAAATATTATAACAAATATAGTACTTTAAATGTTGGTCGCCAACCAATTGGTTTTGCCAGTGAAGCATGAAAAGTGCTAAAATTGATTAAAGTGTAGGCAGCTAAAAAGAAGTTCGAGATCAAAGCAGCTATGGCATTTAATTCACCTGAAAAACGAAAATCATATTTTATAAAGACAATCGATAAGTGCTAGTGATTAATTTTAAAAATTAGGACATTTACCAATTAAGATAAAACCAACAGCGATTATAAATGTAAGAAAATATCCACGAATCGGTTCCTTGTCCTTTTCACCACTAAACCACGCTATTCCAGGATACAATTGATCAAGGCAAAGAGCTTGAAATACTTTAGGTGCAGAAACCAATGTTGCTAAGGCACTTGATAATGTAGCTGCGAAACACCCAGCATAAATAATTGGACCAAATACAGAGACCAATTCGATCACCTAAACAATTTAATTTAAGTTATAAAGAATATAATAAATGTTTGATTTTAATGAACACTAGTGATGTTCTTCACAATATGTTTCAAGCCATACCTGGAAACTATTATGGCTACCATAAGAACAGTTGCCTGTACAATTAAATTTTGTACCATATATACTCCAAACTATTTCATTAAAATCTGTAGCAACAGTAGTACTCTCCATCGTTTCATTACTCGAGTTAACAGTTGCTACTGCAGTGTATGAATTATTGAACACGTTCCACAGATCGTTTACATCGCCAGATGCGTCTCTTAAAACTGTACCTCCTACCATGAGAGCCATAAGAATGTAAGAAATTGTTGTTAAAAGTATTGCTAACAATGTACCCTTAGGTATCGCTGTCTGCGGGTCCTGTTCAAAACAAATATTATATTAGTCAAATGATTTTTAAAGTTGGAGTTAAATTATCTACTACTATTCAAAAAATATTGCTTGAATTTAAATGTACATATATTTAAAAACACTACTTGTATATTAAAATATTGGTAACGTATAATTTTAATAAATGTGGTATTAGGAAATTCCCTGTAGACGAAAGGACTAAATCACCTTCAAATCACCGGATATATTCGCACCTGCCAGGATACCTGTTGCCGCTGGGAAAAAGATAGCCAAAACTGAAAAAAAATTATGTTCCACTCCCTCGTAGTACCTATAGTCCGAATAAATATTCTCCTTGAACAAATCACCTGCCAAACAAAAAGCTCATTAATATTCCTCTATATTATTTTTTAATAGACATTACCATTATATCCTATGAATCCTTTGGCTTTCTCTTCATCATCTTTAGGACCAATGAAAGTACCGATCATGAAGTCAGCTATAGCCACAAGCAAAATAACGAGTAAACCGATCTGCGCTTTCGCCTCCCACTCCAAACCGATCATCACGATCAACAGAAGCAAGACTATTGTAACGCAACCTACAACAAATAAGCGGTTAAAACATCACGTCGCTGGAATCATGAAAAATCTTACGTACCTATGATTCTGATATCGGAGTTATCGCAGTCGATGATACAAATTCCATTAGCTTTAAGGCAATCGACCATACTTTCGCCAAAGCCAACAACGTACATGGCACAGGCAACCGCGTTCGCCAAAGAAAATATTAATCCTATAGCACCTCCAAATTCTGGTCCCAATGATCTGGAAATCATGTAATACGTGCCACCTACGGAAAACCATTAATCAATCTTACAGATTCTTGCTAAAGGCAAAAACACATGAAATCATTTAATGAATGTAATTTATGCTACTAATGAAAAACTGTTAATGGTAATAGATGAAGGAAAGTTAGTTTTTAAATGACAGAGTTAGATGGTAATTTTAGTTATTAATTAAAAAACAGCAGATTGTAAGGATTAATCTTGTCTTCCTCGCGGTTTCAATGCAACAAATTGTAATTTGCAGATACACCCCGTCAAACTCGTTTCTGGCCGATTGGTTTAATCTGATTATACCATCACTGTTCATCGTTAATAGTCGTTTTAATTCGTCTTAGCTTGCGCCGATGATTCACTCATTCACACAGGAGTATTATTTACCTCCTTTAATGAGCCCATTTGTACTAATCGCTGACATTGACAGCGACGTTATCGTGGTCACGGCTGTAGTCGTGAGGATTAACAGGATAGCTTGTCCTGGAATTATAGATAAAATAATTTTGCATATTAACGTATCATCGATTCTACATATAATCATGTCGCTGGCTGGTGTAGTTACCTGTGCCAGCTTGTGCCACGACCCAGGAGAGTCGCAAAAACAACATCACTCCCCAAATGTTGAGAAGACATCGCAGCAGGACACCCTGAATCCATCCGAATTTGATACCGGAAGTCGGTGGTTTCACGTGCGCGATGGGTAGTGTATGGGAGCCTGATCCCTAATATAAGAGGAAAATAATAAATTCAACTGTTTCTTATTTTTAAGAACAATTGTCACAATTGTTTTATTAAATTCTGTGGGTTTGTATGTGCCATACACGTAGTCTAATGATGGATCATTTACTTCTCATCACTCTGATGCACTATATTTTACACAATGCAGAATGCAAGAGACGCATTATATCAGTAAATTGCTATTAAAGCAATCGATTTTGAGATCAAATTAAATACTGAAGTGTTGAAACATTAGCTCTTCAATATACCGAGGACATTAAATTGCAATTAGCGCAACTGAAACGTAGTTTCGAGTTCGATCGAGTTCGATGAATGACATCGTGGTCCAGACCAAGTTCCAAAATAGCTGAAGAATAATTTGAACCGCGAAGGGTTAATAGTCCTATTAATCTAGATCATTCGAGTGCAAACTGAGTGATTGTTCTACATACATACTCACAGCGACCAGCTGGAGTTCGTACGATTATGAATGGGCCCCGTGTTTGCTCCTGTTACTACAGACGTACAAGTATTTATAGAATTAAACTGTAGAAGTTGTGTCGAGAGATCTACGGATCTCTGTACGCGAGCGTTACGCGTAAATTGAGATTTAGAGGTGGTTATCGGCATTGAAGGTGATTCGTCTAGAGGAAGGGTCGCCAGTCGACCAATGAAGACTAACGATTTACGTAACAATGCCTCACATGCCGTACATTACACGTCGCCCAATGTTGAGACACTTTTTAGAAATTCGACTTAAATATCGAGTCTTCCGTTCCTACCGGGACGCACCCCCTTCTCTATGAATTTCTTGCGAAATATCATTCCTCTAATAAGGACTGCTATAAAAAAACTATATTTCAGATATTTTAAACAATGAATTAAAAGCTAAGGATTCCACTACACAATGGACACTATATAATAGACTAAATAAATTAAGAATGTACTAAATAAAACCAACATTGCTTTCCTGTCGAGCCAATGAAATCTATTTAACACTTTTTCTTTCTCAAATTGATAAATTTAAAAAGAAAGGGAAAATGTATGGTCACAGAAACAAAAAATAATTCAATGCCACAGTTCATTGCGATGCGAGTGCTCCAAAGCGCTAAATGAAAATCTTCAGAGTTAAGCATTGCATAAGATTTGCGCAAAGCACCGAGGATTAGTATCAGCCTTCCTACATCCGCATGTATCTTCGGCAAACAAACGTTTTCGGAAGCCGTAGAAACGAACTAAAGTGTAATTGGATCACACCAGGATGTCATGGTGAAGTCAAGATTAGGGGTGCGGGAATCGTTCACATAAAATTCAGATATTTTCAAGGTTGACCTTCTGTAATTAACTCTGCTGGTCCCGATTACGCGCGGCACTTAATTAGATAATTTTCTTAAAATAACGAGAGGAAAAAGCCGAACGAAAAAGATTAAGAGGTGGTTCAAGGGTAACCGAGCCTTCTCGACGCGTGGCTCTCCGCTTTTATAGCTCTTAGAGAGACGATTATTTCATCCCATTATTTCCCGCTCCTATCCTCGAATATCGTGCCTTGGTCTCCAGCATAATTGCAAAATTATTCTTACACGGCTGCGCGGTGTCGATCTCGCGGCAGCTTACCTTCCGTGAAAAGAAAAACGTGTCTGACGATGTCTCTCAAATATTCAAGATTCCAAGAAATCATTTCTTTTTTTAAATGTCCCCGCAATCTTCAAATCTGCCCCATTTCTAGCCGTGAGAAGGAAACTCGTGTTTCAGAAATCACGGAGTCACGTATCACGTTGCGTATTGCGTTACGTGTAATAATTAGCACAGTGATGTTCCTTACACCAGTGGAAATATGAAACATGTTTATTTTTGCTATGTTTCAGCTAATTAGGTGGATTTAAAATCCTTGGGTATCAAGTTCGCGTCAAGATTTAATTTGATAATATAAGGCATCGTTTTCATTCTTAAATTCATTTTATAATACATACATACCGTTTGTAACATTTTGTAATGCTGTAGATGTGAAATTACATTGTCTTCTTGTTCGTATCTTATGTTTGTATCAAATTTTGGGGTCTGGTTTAAGTTAGTACACAATTTAAGGAAGTAGATGTTCTTACAAATTCTGTGACACATGGGTTATTTGGCAGAAGTTGGACTAAAAAGAAACCTGGTTTCGAATCAGTGTGTCATTTGATCCCCGAATGAAGCAAGCTGCAATGTTAGCGAAACGTTGGAATAATTCAATCAAAAGAATGCAGCTTACATCCGGAACCCTCAGCTGTAAGCAACTCTATAAAGGTTACATGGTTCAGGTATATTTTCGAGGGATGCACCTGGTATAATTTTCTGCCCCTTTAAACACTATAGAAACACGCACACGATTATACTACGCCTCTGCTATTCACCTCGATTCTACGAGATGGTAGAATCATAAAAAATCTTCATATACAGGGTGTTATCAAAATTTGCCTTAAATTTTATGCATTTACAGTGTCCACAAAAATCAACCCTACTTACGTAAACCTAACTTCTATATTTAGGGGCGTCCGATACAACCTATGAGTTTTTCATAATATATCGAATTTAAGCAGAAAATGATCACTAACACCAACAAAAATTATTTGTCAAATAAATGCAGTCATTTGAAAATAATCAAATTATTAATGAAAATATTTTCATAGAATTCTTTTAAAAAAACGTCAACTGGTCCAGAGGAGGAAGTAAAAGAAGACTCACCCTATAAATATATGAGCATTACTTGTTTCACACCCTATACATGGGTCGGGTAAGTGAATTACGAGCGCGTCGCATCGAAGAAAAGAACGACGCGAGAAGGAGCGCTTCTCACGCAGCGTTATATGTGATCATGTACCAACACGTTCACAGAATAACGTGGTATAATAGTCAAATAATAACAAACGCTTATCCCTCGACCCGTAATGTATTCGGAGCACGCGTTTTACTGGTCCCATTGGCACTCTCGTTAAGCCACACATGCTGTACAATTCGGATTCGCGATTGATATTTCAACTGGTAGGTCAAAACTGAATTTTCATTCGAAATGAAATATTGACCACTGAAACTACACCGCCTTAAAAATATCAACAGCTTTTTAGGCTTAACTCTCGCGTTTATAAAAATTGTCTCTTAACGCGCTTCGATCTTTCACATGTTCTTTTTACACTTCATAAATGAGAATCATCTTTGTTTATGGTCCATTATACAATTTATTTGTTGTATATTACAATGTTACGATCTCGGTACTCAGTCATAAATTTTCGTAATCAGTGTAATCATAGGACGTTGACTCAGACTGTAGGTCAACCGTGGCCATGTCTTCAAAATGATTATATAATTGTGTGTCTATAAATAAATAGATTTTTGGGAAAAAATCATTTGGTTTCTGACTAAATTGTCTATCTATGTCAATCTACGGAAAGTAGAATGTCTCTCGCATTTTTTCAGTCAACACTTTGCATTCGACAATTTGTACGGTTTGATTGTTAAATTATCTCGACCCACAATGATGTCAAATGATTATTGTAAAAACAATGTCCAAAAGATCAACGAATTAATGGGAGGTCAAGCTGAATACCGAGCAGTTCGAGGAATCGAAATCACCGATGTAATTCATAATTCACCGGCAGCCCAGAAATATAGCTGTACTCACACGGAGGCATGAACTTCATGAATAAATATTTCTGGTGGATGAGACAGTCTTGTGGCATTTATAACCATTTCAAGTGATGCTTTAATTGTACAACGGGACGTGGGGGTTTCCAGTTTAACCCGGTATAGCACGTAAAGCTCCCACGTGTCTATTTTCCAAAATTTTCTATGAAAAACATTGCGCACTTTGATAGAAGACGATCTGATAGAAATCTTAATGAGTCGAGGTACAATTTATTCCGAATATAAACATATACAGGATGATACTTAAATACATGCCAATACTTCAGGGGCTGAATATACACGCCAAATCAAATAAAAAATGTCACATGAACATATATTCGATATACCTTAGATTTCGAGTTATAGATGATTAAAGGAAATGCTCAAAGAAATCATGTATCCGTCAAATAGTCTCGTTTCCATTTTGTATCCTTTCTTGCAGATCGTGCACATTATTTACTTGCGTTACATACACAATAGTTTTTAAGTAATATCAAAGGTAAAAGTATATTAAATTAAGATCAGAAGATCGTGATCGATGAATATTCTTTGTAAATATTAGATACAGTTAACAGTAAAAAGTATTAAGGCGTTCAAAAGCGTGTATTATAGTACGATACGGGTACTTCCAGCATTTCCTTTAATCATCCATAACTCGAACACCAGGGTATATAGAACGTACGTTCATATGACATATTTTTACTTCTTTCGGCGTGTGGATTCGCCCCCTGAAGCACTGACATGTATTTACGAATCACCCTATATATAATTACCGGTATACAAATATTTTACAATTCACAATGTACGCTTGCAAAAAAATTCTATATAATATCTTCGTAGAGGAAATATTGAAAAATCTTAACTTGTTAATTCATAATGTTAACCAAACATTTTAAACTGTTGCAGATTTCAGTGAATCGTTCCTTCGGTTAACTAATTATATTTAATAAAGAAAACGTGTAGCATCTAGCTTGTAAATGATGAACAGACAACGAGCGTTGAGGTTCAGATGAATAGTTTACATCTCGAAAATGGAACTATCGAAAAATCCGAATCGTATCCAAAATTTATTAGGGTTGAATTATTGTTAGCTCCGTGTCGGAGGCAATCTAGATGATGAATTTAAGTCGTTACGGTGGTACGTTCCGCCGGACATATCGTATTTCGGTCAATCAATCGGTTCATCGGAGCTTCTATTCAGTTAGACGCGCATCAGGGGACTTTCAAAAAATCCTGTCAGGTCAAAACGCGAAGATTGGTAGCCTGCGGCCCGGTCAGGCTAAAGAGGGTTGCGACGGAGGCTTCTTCAATTGACACGGATTAGCCGCCGCTGAAGAGAAGCAACATGGTCAGAGAACAATTTCGGGAGAACATCCGTACAATGCAGTCTAACAGGATTAAACGTCCCCTGTTTCCATTAATTGTTGTTTCTAACGTTAATATGTATAACAGGGCGTTATTTACTGTTTACATACGGTCGATTACAAAAGTCTCATTTATCTGTCAAATTTCAAATATTTAGAACGGAAAACAGAAATTTTTGACATTTTATGAATATTCATTCATTATTCAGCTATACAAATTATAAATTAGACAGATTCTATTTATTATGAGGAAAATATAAATTTTTCTGACTGGCATTATTTAATGTCGAGTTAGAACAATTGAATTTTACATGAAAAAGGAATTCTTCTCAGAACGAGAAAGAAATATTTCAGACGAATATCGCTTTCTTCTGTATTAGTTTTCCAAGGTCTGTTAAGTAATCATTTCCGTAAAAATGTTTTTTTTCGTGCAAGAATTAATCGCGAACAATCCTAGAGAAATTATGAGAAATATTTAAAGTATTAAAAACTCTTTCAATGAAAATTGACATCAATATAATCGAAGGGCTGATTAGAGTGGCCCCAAAGTTACAGAAAAAGGGGCAAAGTGATTGAGTACTCGCATGACCGTACAGCCGGAAAGAATACGGAGACTATACGGCACCATCGTGAGCCGTAATGAGTACAACTACCGTCGCATTGTAAAACAAAGGAACCAGTGGTCCTATTAATGGTCAAGTATCATCATCCTTACCTTGTTAAGCAGAGTGGGATTATGGAGCTCGTCCAAGGATGGCCTATGAGCAGCCTGGATGCTCATAATGTTCCTGTAATTGTCCAACCTGGGCAGAGCCTCTCTGGTCATGTGCCTCAGGGACTTTTTGGTCTCTTGTTCCCCAAGAAGACTAGCACGACCCTCCAAACTGTCGACGCGGTTCACGTGGAACCTGGTCCTCCTCAAGGGATTCAATTCCACCGATTCGGAATCGGTGTCGCCATTTACGCCGTTTTCGTGTGCCATTTTTTTTATTGTCTCGTCGCGCTCTGTCTCTAATCTTCCATGCACCTGCTGATCGTCCTTCTTCATCAGTTATCTCATGAGACCAATGATGATCACTACAATTTGAAGTCTAGGAGTCTCTAGACAGTCAAAATTCTTCAGAAAGTTGCACGGTAAATCCAGCTTCTTTTGTGATCTCACGAATTTATCAATTCTATCCTCCTGCAACAATCGTGGAAGATCGAATGTTAGACGGACACTTGGCGGACGTTTATTTAAGGGGAACATGGAACGGAGAAGTTATTATAAGGGTTCCTCATTGGGTCAGTTGTGGATTTAGCTTCCTTCAATGCAGTTTGATAAATTAAACACTTGAAGTCCGTCAATATGATAAAACAAGTCTTACTCGTGACACTCGTTTAGTCGATCATGTACAACCGTGACTATACGTAAATTTACATAACTGTACAAATAACTTTTCTTAGCTATCCGTCACTACCGGATGACTATAAATAACTGGCACCGATTATAACAACTAATGCATAAATGCTAATTGCCGAGTATTAAAGATTACAAGAGTAAGCACACATGACTCGATAAAACTATGTACAAGACAAGAATTATTAAATTTATTCCGGTTTACCTTTGAGATACAATGTTATTCTGATCATCCACGGATGAGTAATTTAACGTTCTGGTAAATAAAATGATATTTAAACGTAATGAATAAAAATTATAATTACAATGTATTTATTTGCTGGAAACATAATATAACAATCAAAATATGAATAAGGAATTTTAGCCTTTGAATTCTTGTATAGCTATGTACTCGGCTATGTGTAACTATGGGCGACCATATAGTGGCTATTTGCGATTAGGATGATTCCATTGTAATCACATGACAAACCGTTACAGACGTGGCGCGTTAACAACGATCATTTCCTATCCTTAACGCACTGTTTACAAATTTGTTGGCTGAGTAAGTTCAAAGGAGGTCTTGCGTCGTTACATCCCCTATATAACCGGTTCGGGTCGGCGAGGATCGGCGCCCGATGCCCTTGATTCTCGAGTTACAATTAGTTAACAACTGCCGCGTAGGCTTGTCAATTATGAAATTACCCTTGTTTACAACACTCCACACATAATTACTGCTTCTTCGATGGTTTAATGCATGGATGATCTAGTTATCAAATTAATCGTTACTCGTAACGCCGGAAAAATGACATTCCTCCGGTGAAACAGAGATCGTAGCCCCACTCCACCCAATTTTCGAACTTTCTCGAAAATCTTATTTCTTAGGGTTTTCTTCTATTTTTAAATAAATAAATTAATTAATAAATGATTATTCAATAAATGAATACCATTTAAAGTAAAATACATACAACAATCATGTAGGTGCGTGTAACTTTATGTGACGTGTTTCTTTCTACATTTTTAATTTATATCCTGAGTAAACATTTCAGAATTCCAAAGACTGTCCAAAGTGCAGTTATAATTATTTCGAGAGTAGTTTCCTTGTTATCTTTGCTTAGGTAAGTATATTTACAATTTTAATAACGAGGAATTATTATTCAGATATTTCTGTTATTTTGCAGTGTTTTTATTGTCAACATAACTCTTTGATAATTACGAGGCTTAATAACGTTCTTTATCGTCTGCACCCTTAACGATTACTTTTTCATATTTAAGCCCCTCTTAAGGGGATTTACGACGCAACTGATACACAGAAGCGCAACCATGTATATAGAGGGTGAGCAACCCCTCTGTTTTTAAACATTACGACGTCTACTAATTTTCTAAATTTTTCAACAAATCTCTACGAACAAACCAATATTAAATCGAATTTCATTCTTAAGTGTCTCACACTTGAAGCAATGCGGTCAAAGCTAAATTGTAATAGGGGTAAAAACCTACGACGAAATAAATCGAATGCACTGTAAAACAAGACCACTTTTAATGTTAAATAATCAAACTATATATCTAAAAAATTCTACCAATATTTTTGTAACTATTATGTTCGTATATTACTCAAATGCAGTATAAATAAAGAAATTAAAAAAACATCTCGAAACATACAAATTTTTTCATTTCTACCAGAATTTATACTATATAACGTAAACGAATTTCATCAAAATTAATCATCTTTAAGTCAGACTCGGGTTAGGGCAATTCTACAAATAATTCAAATGTCATTTAAGTCTAGTTCTCAAAGGGCTAAGCATAAAATAGACAAAGGATCCAAAGAGTTCGACGTCGAGAGATCTATAATCTCACGTTACAGAAAAATGTAAATTTGGAAAAATATAACGGTGTAGTTAGTAACGCAGCCGGCTCACCCCAGGCGCCGGATCTCGCAGTAAACATGGTCTAACGTTTCGTTGCATTATTCTCGCGTGAAGGGGAAGACCGGTACGTCGACTTTGCAAACGCGTCATCCCCAATAAGAAATCGTTTCGTTTTCGATGGAAGGGACGAGCAACAAAGTGTTCGGAGTTCGTCACCTTTTTCTCCCAGGGACAACGTTACGTGATCCTCTCGGATGGAACTGGCTCTCTGTCATGTATCCGATTTCCCCATAACCTCACGCCATGAATATTCACGCCTCTTAAGTTGTTCACATCTGTCCGCGCTGCGCGTACGGTGCGTCTACCGTTCGAAAATTTTTCCGGAAATGTTACGAGAACAGCATGTCGTTCAACGTGAAACGAAACCGGTGTCCGGTCTGTACTCCTGGCACGTTTTCCACGGTCCCGTGGTCAAAAAAACGCGTTAATGTATTTCACTGTATTTACTCGCACCAATCGTAGATTCGTTCGAGCCGCCGTGCGCACTCGTTCGCAAGCACGTGCGAGCGACTTCTGTCATACGTACTCGTGCGATTTCAAAGACTCGCCACTCTTCGACACGTCCGACACTCACCAAATCCCGACTCCTACTAACAGAACGTCGCACGGTTCCCTTTTACTATACCGGGAGTGCTCGGGCTAGCCCCGTACACTGTTGCAACCCGTAACACACGTCTGCATCGATTCACGTATGCACCGAATGTCGCGCGTTATACGGCGCAAGCACTTTCTCGAAATGACAGCGCTAGCGATCACGGTCCTTGTGATTTTTTAAAGAAATTCTTTGATTTTATGTGTCCAAATAATTGGGTCATTTTTATGAGCTTCACCCCGTGAAAGTAGAAGCAAGACTTTTGAATTCTTGCGGCTAGTTTTGAGCGAGGAATTTTGAATTTATAAAAGTTTCAAGTTTACGGATTTTCCCTAGGATACGAAATATAAAAATTTTATGGAATCATACGCAGATTGTTTATTAATTATTTTATTTTTCTTTGAATGGATATTGATTATATACATTGACGAATTTTAATAAAATGTATGTAATATTTGAGATCGCAGGAGATGAAAATAATATTGAAAATTAATTCGAGCATAAATGAAGCAAGAGCTTTTCGAGTTTCTTTACTACAAAGTATTAAAAATTTATTATTTCATTGCTATAGAATATTTCTAAAGAATTATTTATTATTGCTTACGTCGTTAAGGTTGATGTTGAAGAATCGTTTTTAGTCTAATGACGACATTAGCAAAAATGTATCAGAAAAAAATGGCTAAATATGCAAATAAATTTGCTTAGGATTGATATTATAAGAAACGTATTTATAACGTTTTTTCATCATCTACCAGGAAATAATTTGTTCATTTCTCACGTATGAACAATCAATTAACTAAGAATATCACCCAAAGTGAATAATAGGATTAAAGAAATGATTACACGGCTGGCTTATATTCACTTGTAAAAATAAATCATTCAGCTGTACAGTTACAATCGTTTTATAATATGGAAGTGTTAATTTAATAAACCTAATTATTACTAAAACCACTGAACACTAATTCAATAGCTGCCTGAACATCACCATTCGTAAATTGTAATGCTTGAATATTTATTGTATCATCTTGAAGTCCTATTTCATGCATCTGTGCTAATTGTCTCTGCAAGTCTGTAAACTGAGGTAATACAGGTGGTAAAATTGGTGGTAAAATTGGTGGCAATATAGGGTCACTGATTAAACCCGTGGTTGCTACAGAAGCCTGTTGCATAGCTTGATTGAACATTTCTGTAGTTATCACACCAGAATTTGTGCTGCCGCCTGAGGTGGAAGAAGGTGAATTGGAAAGAGGAAAACTTCTAGCCCTTGCTCTAGAAACTGCTGCTGCAAGCTGTGCAGCAGTAATCGTAGTATTTGATGGATTGGTGAATGGATTTGATGGCTGTGTAGAGTCTGAAGATTGAGAAGAATCTCCCGCCATTTCTTCATCATCACTCAAATTATCCAAGTTATAGGAATAAGCAGAAGGTTGTGTGTTAGATACAGAATTGTTAGATGCAGCACTTGCATTGTTATGAGCTTCTTCATGAACAGCTGCAGCTATATTTTGTGCTGCTTCTACTAAAACTGGATGTGCCTCTGCAAACCTATTTATACAAGCAATATGAATGTGTGTATAAATATATATATATAATTACAATATAATAAAATCTACCTTCTGACTGTATCCACATCTGTGAAATGTGCCATTAAGTCAGGATTTTGGAAAATAGCAATTGCCACAGCATCTTCATGTAATCCGGGAGAGGATGAAATAATATTAGTTATTACTTCTGATTTTTTACCTATTCGCTACAATGAATAAATATATTTTAATAAACATATTACAAAACTGTGGTATCGTAAAGCTGTAAGAATATAACAATTACATATAATGCACTTCTCAGTGCAGGATTCTCTTTAAATGATTTAAATGCAGATGCAAGTTGTAAAATACTTTCTTCTGAGATATGTTTAGGTGCTGTGGGTGTTTCTGGTTCCTTTTTTTTCAATACGTGTACCATTGCACCATTTTTTAATCCACATGATTCTAATGTGACCTCATCCTCAAGAATGCAACCACAATAAATTAATTCTAAGAAACAAAACAGAATAAAATTTATTTATAACTATAGTTTAAACCTGTTTTTACTTAAACACTACATCTATTACTTTTTATAAATGAAATTGTAGCAATTTTATGTTAAAAGTTGTTTACAGATAAGTTTAAAGATTATATTTGAATAAAGGAAAAGTCTAAACGTAGCATAAGGAATGAAAAATCAACTGTCATCTTACCAAATGATTCCTTTGTTAGGTTAACTCTTCTAGCTGTTTCAGATTTCAAGTCTTTGACTTTATTTTTAAAATTAACATTGTTTAATTTAATTGTAGTTAAAGATTGAAAGTCCAACCGTAATCCTAGGATTATTTCTGAACTCATTATTGTCAATAAAAGTCAATATTATAAAACACAATCAGACGGTTTCGCCACTCGAAGCATACGAATTTACTACAAACAAGGTATAGGCTATGTAACCAAACATATTACACTTCTACCATTCTTTACTTTCCATTTGTTCACATGTATATTATTATTTAATGAAATATATTAAAGAATTTTTTACATATAAATATTAGATAATTTTCAATTTTTATATAATTCTTAATTTATTGAAATTCTAATTTACAAAATACAAACGTATTCAAAAATGTATCGAATCGATGAACGATCTCTCGACAGACTTCGATTTCGACTTTAATTGACATCTCGCTCCCTTAACGATGTAAAACGTAACACCAATATCAATATGAAGAAGTTCAGTGACATGTTTGGAGCAATTTTTGATAGCTGACACTTAAGCAATTTTCCGAGAATGTTGTGCAAAATACAACTTTGATATGACATAAGAATAAGCAGAAATGCAAGACATTTGCGAAAATATTCGTACAGCTATTGAACATGGACGTACCGATATAATTAGATCCCTTTTAGATGCATGTACGTGTAAGAACTTTTATAGTAAAATTATGTGCACGTTTATGATTTATCACATAATGTTACAAAGAAGATACTTTAATATGACATAATATAACAAAATAGATTAAAACCGGTCAAATTATATTCAATATATATCATACAGTAAAACATATAAAGTACAATTGGTTAAATTTTTTATTCCAATTTGTTAACAGGTGAAAATGGTAATACAGCTGAAGGTATAACAAAAGACAAGATTTTAAACCAACCATTATTAGAAGAAGGTACTTTTCTTTCATATGCTGCAAAGGTAATTTCATACATTATTAACTATAAAATCTTTACATAAACTATGAATATTCATATAGGTTTATACTTTGTATGTATTATTTCACTAAAATGTAAATTAAATAGAAACTTATTTCCTTTGTTAAAAATTTTTTTGCATTAAAATACAATAACTTTATCAACAACTTTATTCAATTTCATAAAAGTTTTCATTTTACTATTTATTTATTTGTGTGCATAAGTTGGATATGAATAAAATCTATAATGTAATATCATATCTATAATATGATTGTTGATACAAATTTTTGTAAAATATAGAGTAATCAACCAGATATTGTAAGAACATTATTAAGTTGCGGCGCCAATCCAGCTATTCAAAATGTTAATGGGCATAATGCAGTAGATGTTGCATCTAGTGATGCAATACGTCGTGCTTACATTGAGGAATTGTTAAGAGCGACTGCTGCATCAGAGTATGTAATATTATATTATTATAATTATAAACAATATCAATTATTCTGTTAATTTAATCTTATTACATTACGTACCTGTTTAAAGGGTGGAAAGGGTAGTACAATTATTAGATGCAGGATTAAATGTAAATTCATGGGATTCTCATGGCAGTAAGAATACACCTTTACATTGGGCAGCTTGTTATGGAAACAAAGACATAGTCATATGTTTAATTGGTAATTTATTAAAAATTGATGTGTAGTACACCTGACCCTTAATTTATGCAAGTCTCTTTTTTCATGGTAAATTAGAATACTATTTACACTGTAGTTTTTATGCATGATCTGAATTTAGTAACACCAAATAAAATGTACTTTTGTTTTTTAAAATGTCATTATTATTATTTCTTTTGTTTGGCTATGTGAAATAAATATGTATTTCTAAAACTTATATCAGCTTTTCTTTCCAATATTTTGTATTCTTTTGTACAGATACATGTGTATTGATTTTTCATGTAAGTCGAGGGCCAAGTGTATAGAAAGTAGATTGATTGTGTAATATAATCATGTAATTCTTATATAGATAGAGGAGCAGATGTAAATGCAGTGAATGGTTGTGGCGCTACACCATTACATGATGCAGTAAATCGTGGTGATGTTGCTATTTGTCAAGAATTATTACAAGCAGGTGCAAATCCTCTTGTACGAGCAACTAAAGGGTATATATATAATATGAAATTATAGCCCAAACAAATATTTACTACGTTTTAATAAAACCTTTTTGCAGAACTTTTGCAGGGAAAAACCCTTATGATCTGTCTAGAGGAAAACAACATTTGCATGGTTTCCTTCAGAGATTTTTATCAAACTTTATATCGAATGACACCGATACCATGCATAGTCCAACTGCATCATTTACAGAAGCAAACTTCTGTCAAAAAAGTCTTTCAAGTAACATGAGTCAACTTTCTATCGAATCTACTAAATCTTTAGATCCAGTGTATGATGTACCTTTACGAGAACCAGGCAAAGATAGTCCAACAAAAAGTACCGATAAAGATGGAATTTATAGTTTACTTTGGCCACAACCAAAAACTGTTGTTGAATTGAAAAACTGTTCTGCATCTTTTATTGCTGGGAAAGAACTTTTTATATCTATAATACAGGTATGATTTCTTAGTTAAGATAATTGTTGTTATATTGTCTGCTTTATATATTATCATATGCTATGCTATTACGTAGGGCAGTGAATCTATACATAGAATATTAGATGTTTGGGAAATCAGTAGAACTCATTTACTAGAATTGGGTCATGACGTAAAGATTGGTGAAGTACACCCAAGCTCTGGCAAACTACCTAATGACAACAGAATTGACTGTATAGTAAATAAGAAGTTATTCAATAAACCTGATGGATATCAATTACATATTTCACAAAACACTATTAAAGTTGGTGCTGGAAGTTTAGCTGGGTTACATTATGCAGTTTGTACATTTGTACAAATTTTGCGATTAAGTAAAAATCTGAGCAGATCAGAAGCCTGTGAAATTGAACCCGTTTTTATAAAAGATGAACCAAGATTTTCACATCGCGGTATATTATTAGATATCTCACCTAGAGGTCGTATACCAACATTAGAATATTTATTACATATGATCGATTTGTGGTCATCTTTTAAAATATCTTATTTACATCTTTACTCAAGACTTACTCCAAATTGTGATTGGCAACTTTGTTACACAAAATCAGAAATGGTTACACTTGACCGTTACTGCAGGTTCGTTTACTCTCAGAATTTACGTAAAAGTATTCATATTTAGTACATATTGTTTGTAAATTGGTAGTTTCCATTCCAGGGATCGGCATTTATATTTAGTTCCAACTTTAGATGTTGATTCAAATGTGGGTCAGCATCATTTATCACAAATGTGGCCTATATTCCAAGAATTGCTAGCAGTATTTCCAAGTTTAAGTTATGTTCATGTTGGGCCAAGGCTAGCTAGTTTACTAGTTCAAGCAGATAATTTTGATTTGAATTTATCTATTAATGAAACTATAGAAACAGATATGTCTGAAGTATTTAAATCGTATTCGTGTCTTCAAGAACTATGGCATATTCTGAATTTGAGTTCATCTACAACCTTAATGCTTTGTTCAAACGGTTTACATTCCAAACCAGAATTCCATAACATACCCAATAATATAATTCTTGTAGAATATGGATTTCAGGTAAAATTTTATCTTTAAATAATCATTTACTATAAATTTTTAAAGATTAAAACTTAAATATTATATCAATTCAATTATAGGCCGATTATGATTTTTCTGAATGGACAGAAGCATTTAGAATAACTGGTGGTAATGTTTTACCTAGTTCTGGAACAGCAAGTTACAATAGTTTAGCAGGATGTCCAGCATCAACGTATGCAAATACAAAAAATGCAATAAAGACTTCCTTGGAGCAAGATTCAGTTGGCATAGTAGTGGCACACTGGTCTGGAAGTCATCATCTTACTCCACATCCTTTCGCATGGATTGGATATTTAATAGCTGCAGGATTAGCTTGGAATCCAGTTAGTGAAATAGATATGTGTATTGATGACAATTACGAAATTTCTGAAGTATTTGGGTCAAGGTACTAACATCATCCGACATTTAATGTACTAACAATTTGAAATAAAGTATTTACAGTCAATGTCACATTATAGGCAAAAATGTATTACAAAATTGTTGGATGTTCATGTTTTCCAAGATTCAGAATATAAAATTGGAAACGCAATATTAGAATTGGGTCGGTTAGATACTTTAGTACTTACCTTAAGTAAAAACCAAGGAGCTAAAGATTTACAACAGATTCCTGATAATCGAGGATCAACATTGTACAGATTATTAACGGACCCTGATAATGTAAATTTGGAGTACCTCTCGGCTGATTTATTTGCAGTAAGTAGGAAAATTACAACTTTGAATTCTTTGATAAAAATAAAAGAAACAGTGATATTTTTATTTATTTAACAGAAAGTAACAAAACAAGTTAAACGTATTTCTCATTCATTATACGAAAGTAACTTATCGTCAAAGTTTGCATCAATGGAAATACAAGAACTTCAATTGACTGCCGATTTAATGTTAACGGCATGTAAAATTGGGAGAACATTGATTGGTGTTGGTGTTAATCCGAATAGTAATATGGGTCTTGCAGTTATTAATTTAGGAGTATGTAATCTGCCACCTACATTTAGAACTGATATAGCAAATAAAATGTTGGCTCATATAGAACAATATAAGGGTTCATGGTTACAAAGGCATTTACCTCAGGGCCTTCAAAGCTCTCTACTAGTCCTGACTAGTGCTCTACATAGGTTCGTGCCAGAAACATAATTTGTTGTACTTTGGAAATATAAAAGACTTCATATTTATATATACATAAAATATGTCAGTTCCTGCTATAAAAGACTGCAGGTACATACTACGCAGAACGTAATTATGTATATGTGTAGCTTTTGAATGTTCCTTTAAAAACAAAACTTTGATACAGTACATCATAATGACATTATTGTAATTGTTTTAAGCACAATTACGATTGTTCTTCCTAATAACTTAACTTATAGAAAATTTGATGATTTGTATTTACATGGAGATGACATTAAGGGAACACTCTTAAGCTTTAATAAACTTTATAAAAAAGCACTGTTTACGCTGATTTATGATATGAAAAGTGAGAATTAAAAATATCAAATTAGTTTTATTAAATACTAATGTATTTAATAACTATGTATATGCTTTTGATTTATTACAATATATTAATTAATTAATAACACTTGTGTGTTAAAATTGGTAT